CGTACCTACGTACCTCGTACGACGACGGACCGGACCGTACGTAAAAGTTAAAGTTAAGTAGTATATAGTAAGTAATTAATTAACTTACTTTCGTCTATATATATATATATATATATATATATATATATATATTTATGTTCTATTTTTTTTCGGTTTGGGCCAACTCGTGCCCCGTCATCATGAATTCACGCCAGCCCTGGGCCATGCTCGAAACAAAATTTTGGGGCCTGGTCCCTGCTAGGTATACCCTACATGGTACTGAGCCGGGCTCGGGCCAAGGCTTGCCTGGCACGAGCCCGGCTCGTTAACTGCCATACCTGTATGTGACATTTTCGATATACTTTCCTGGGTCATGTGTCTTCAAACCTTTTTCTTCTCGTGTATCATGGTTCTTATTTGTTTGATGGAAATCATTTTGCATATCTTTATGGTCCCTTCATTGGGATATCTGAAACTATAGTTGACTTCTGCAAAAGAAGTTCGTGCGTTACAGAAATGGATAGTTTTTGTTAATCATATTATAACTGATACATAGGAGAAATACCTGAATTATATTTGATTCTCGTATAGTGTTTTCCAGGAGTAATGTAGATTTTCAGTTTTAAATGGTTCATTAAAAGATCATCCAATACGTCATTGGTGATCTGATGATATTTTGTTTATTTAGTGTAGCTTTAGTAGTTGAATACTGAGCATTATTAATGCTGTATTTTGTTTTCAAGGGCATAATGGTGCTGGGAAAAGCACCACAATATCTATGCTTGTTGGCCTGCTTCCTCCTACTTCTGGCGATGCTTTGGTGTTTGGGAAGAGTACCAGGACTGACATGGTAATCATCTGGACTCTATTTTATTTTTATGTTAATATTGGTTTTCCAGGATATTGCCTTTTCATATTCATTGCGTTTGTTAGGATGTTTTGCTTTTGTTTGATGAACACATCTTAAGCTTTCCGATGGATTCTCTTTACATCCATGTGTGCATGCTACTTGCATTTACGCATGTGCATCTGTAATTCGTGTTTGTCCTGGCAATTCTTATCAATAGATCCACACTAGATCACACAATGCAATATTTCCATGCGTGTTACCGGTGCTTTGGTGCATTCATTGGGTCTATCTAGTAACATTGTTATCAAGTCTGAAGGGGAAGTGCCGGCAAATATAGTTTTTAACACATCTAACTTAAGCACATATATTCTATTTCCTTAATCATTTAAATCATCTCAGCTTGTGCGCAATCTCATTAGCTATCCATTTTGATATGCTATAAGCATTTTCTTTTCAGATACCATAATCTGTCATCTTGTTTGTTTGCTGAACTTCCAAATTGTTGCTACTTTTTGCTTGTTCATTAGGATGTAATTCGGAAGCAACTTGGTGTCTGCCCACAACATGACATCCTATTTACAGAATTGACGGTGAGTTTATATATAGATGTTTTGGCTCAAGTGTTCAAGTTGATGCTTTGCTAATTCTGTTGTTCGATTCATGGTACATGATTGTATAAGTAACTTTTGCCAATTTAAATTTAACTAAATGGCCTTTGACGCCAAATGGGATATTTTTTGCTTACTCAAATTTAGATAATCAAATTAGTTTGATATATAATCATAATCATGTATAAAACTAGATCCTTTAATGATTAATGGACCAGTTTTTGCGTTTTGGTGAGTCAGCCGACTCACCTATTACTGTACAGTCCATTGTCTATCAAATGTCCATGTTTAAGATGTGAAAATAGGACAATGTGACCCGGTCAAGTATGTACCAATTAAAATTTTTCTTTCTTTTTCTTTATTTTACCATCTAGATCACTTACATGCCTCTGGATTCAACTTATGAACTAAGAAAATAACAATTATGCCAAGGATTCTCACTTGCATGCCATCCAAATAAGTTTCATTCAATAAATAAATCTGAAAGTCACATAAGACTTTCAATGAACTCAAGAAAGCATGAAATAAAGCAATACCACATAACTTGCCTCAGGTTACCCCCAAGAACTTCGTACACTCCATACCGGGTCTCCCCCACCAATAGCACATGGGATCTCGTTCCAACCTCGTCTCATGACTCAGGAAGCCTAGGCAAAACTTCTTTAGAGCATGACATGGGATGGGACTTGATCAAAACTCGAGCACAAGGCACAATCTCAAAGATCAAGTACAAAGAGTTGGGCATCCCACCCTTGTGGCTTGGGCGTGCCACCCTTAAATTAAAAACCCTAAAGAAAAATAAACAAGAGAGAGAGATAGAGAGATTTTGGGTGTACCTGCCCATGGGAGAGAGACAAAGGCCAACTTGGTCACAAGTGTGTAGAGAATACAACTCTGCAGAGAATATTTGTAGAATAGAGGCAAGGGTTTTGGGTTCTAGGGTTTTGCTATCATTATAAGACTTAATATTGACCGTAGATCATGGAGACCTGTAGGGTGAAGAGATCTTAGTGCTTCATTCCTTAGATCAGCCATCATGATTAAAGGAATGAGCTAAAACCATTATCCTTTAGTTTTCATAACTCTAGTTCCATCAAATAATTGTGTAGAGAAAATACTATGTTTTTACAAATCTAATTTCAATCAATCTTTACACTTACTTATTTTAAATCAATCAAACCCATTCCATAAAACTTCTCCATAATCTTCAAATCAAGTGGGTGGCTTCCATCAGAAGCCACACCAAAAAGGAAACAGGAAGATGTGGGGCGTCCCACACATGGAGAGCCATGTGGGCCCCACGCCCCCATTTGTGGGGGGCCCAAAGTCCCAATGGCCCCCCACACCCCAAAGTATATTATAGAAAGGTCTACAAATTCATTTTAATTATCTAAAATATAATTGAAACATAATTAAACATGTTTAAGAAGATTTGATGGGAATCGGATTCAAAGAGATAGGAATATCACAAATATACTGAGGATTGCATCCCTTGTAGAAAACACATTTGACTGCATCTTCTCTAACTGACCCAAAATTTCCCATGACCTACAGCGCTTCGCAGGGGTTCATGTTTGGACAATTAAAGTCTGTTAATAAATGCAGGAGACATGATCCCATGGATTAGAGGTTCCTCCCTGAGGACAAGTCCAGGCCCCAGTCTAGCACTATACCTCATGGGTCCTTCAAACACAGTCCAGTGTTGCGGGGAGACATCTCTTCAACACATGTACATAGCACACACCCTCACCCGCAAGGGATAATCCCACATCGAATTCCTTATCGGTTGTGTACAAATGCCCATGGCTACGAGGTTTTGACATCAATCTGAGCTGTAGCCAGTCAAAGCTCAGGGTAGTAATGGCATTAGAGATGCCTCACAGTCCAACCTGGACCACACTCCCATTGGAGCTATTATATCACTATAAATAATTTCAGACATGCACTTGTAAGGCCTTTAAATGGCCACACAACCCCAATATCTCCCACTTTGCCTTACAATTACTCTCCTTCACTCTCTCTCAACCCCATCCCATGGACTTGTTTGGCGAGCACATTCATCATCAACCCTTTTGTCAAAAGGTCTGCAAGCATAGCCTCTGTGGGAAGAAATGCGACCTTTATCTCACCGAGTCGAACCTCGTTCCGAATGTTGTAATAGTCTACCTTGATATACTTTGATCTCTTGTGAAAGTGGAGCTCTTAAGTCACACTGACTGTAGATTGATTGTAACAGAAGATTCTCACACACGAACATCTCACGGGCTTAAACACGAGCTGATTGAGAAACTTCTTTATCCACACGTCCTCCTTGGCTGCCAGACAACACGCCACATATTTGAACTCCATGGGGGACCGCGCTACCATGTCCTGCTTCTTGGACTTCCAAGAAACTGCCCTACCACCAAGCATGAAGTCTTATGCTGATGTCAACTTCATGTTATTAAGGTCTCCTTGATAATTGGTGTCTGAGTATCCTTGTATGACTATGTTCGTCCCTCCTCCATACGTAAGTGCATAATCCGCAGGCCTCTTAGATATCTCAGCAGTCTCTAAAGTGGCTTCAAATATTCCAGTACGAGATTGCCTTGGAAACGACTAATCACACTCATGGGAAAGGACAAGTCCGGTCTTGTTCCTGACATGGCATACAGAGGTGCCCTATTGCGCTTTTGGCATTCTCTCCATGGCTTTCCTCTCATGCTCATCACTTGGTCACATTTGCAGGCTTAACTTGATCTTCATGTCTATAGGGGTAGAAATCGGCCTACACTTGTCCATTTTAAACTTTTCCAATGTCGTCTTACAATAGGTTGCTTAGGAAGTTGAATGGTCTAATTTTGTTTGTTTCTTGTTATCTTTATGCCCAACATATATGATGCTTCCTCTAAGTCTTTGAGAACGAAGTGTCGTGAAAGGAAATCCTTAGTCTCCTTCATTAGAGCCATTGAGCTACTAACTATCAGCATATCATTCACATATGATGAAATAAACACAGCATCACTCTTATTTGCCTTGACATAGCAGTAACCTCTTGGCTAGAGGTAAAACCTATTTTAGACAAGGTTATGGAATTTGATGAACCACTGTCGTGAAGCTTTCCTAAGGCTATAAAAGGATTTGCGAAACCTACAAACCAAGTCCTCTTTTCCTTTCTTGGTGAAGCCCTAAGGTTGTTTCATATAGATTTCTTCTTCAAGCTCCCCATTCAGAAATGCCATTTTCACATCCATTTGGTGAAGCTCAAAAAGTGGGTTGCTATGGCAATCAAGATCCTAGTGGATGGCAACTTATTAACTCGGGAAAGGGTTTCATTGTATGCTGCTCGCTCTTTTCTGGTGAACCCTTTGGTTACAATCCTAACCTTGTATTTCAAGCGTCTTCTCAGAGTCGAGTTTTTTCTTGAACACCCACTTGCATCCTATAGGTTTTCGTTAATGAGGTAGAGGCACTAATTCCCAAACCAACTTTTGAATGATGGAGCTGTATTCTTCATTCATGGCATTTATCCATTGGGTTTTCTTAGGATAGGATAAGGCTTCTTTATAAGTCACAGGATCATCCCTAATTCTCTCATAGTATTCCCCTATGCAGGTGAAGCCTTTTAATTCAGGTGCTTCTACTAAGGGGTTGTGGTTCAGGCAAGTGTAAAAGACTCACCAAAAATAGTAAAATAAAAGAAATAAGGCAACAAGAGAACTAGCTACGATACCAATGAAATGAGTACTATGTAACCCGGGCAAGTGTATACCAATTAAATTTTTTCTTCTTTTTCTTTATTTTCACCAGCAGGATCACTTACGAGTGTCCAAATACATTATAAGAAACAATAAGTACAGAAAGATCTTGGGAGCAAGAAACACAAACTGCATAAACAGAAAATAAAGTGCTAGAATGTTACCTCAATTGGACCTGGTACACCCCATTTGCGGTCTCCTCCACCGATGGCGCACGATATTAAGGTCCTTCAGAGATCTCACAACTATAGGAAGCCTTGGCTATAAAACCTTCAATAGTTCAAGCAAGGTGGAGCAAACTTGAGCCTACGATTTATGTGTATGGGATGGGCCTCTGTAGGCTCTATGCTTGGGGTGTGTCCCGCTTTTCTTCCTTTCAATATGTTTTTAACTCTTTGGAGAGGCTAGAGAGACGAGAGAGATTAGAGAGAGTGTGTGGTGTGCCACCTTTGTGAGGAGGGAGAGAGAGAGAGTTGTGTCTTAAAGTGTAGAGATTTGGGCTCCCAATGAGACATTATATAAACTTAGGGTTAGTATTAGGGTTTCTAGGATTAGCCATCCTTATGGAGGTTCAATCTTGACCATTAATTATAGGAGACCTGTGGGATGAGAAATTTTAGCCTTGCAAGCCATTGATCAGACATCATGATCTATTGGAAGGTTCTAGAACCTTTCAACTTCCTTAACCTAATCCCATCAAATATTCAATACATGGAAGATATATTTCTTTTTCCTTTTATTTCCATTCATTTTGTACACATGCCTCTTTGGAAATCAAATACCTTTTCTTTGAAAACCTTTACGTTTATTTTAATTCACTTGGATGGCATATTGCATGCCTCATTAAAATAACAAGGTGTAGCACAAAGTGGGGTGTGCCACCCATGGAATCCGAAGTAGGCCTCAAGCACCTTCCCTCATACCATGTTTTGGTGGGGCCCATGGAGTAAAATGGTCACCCATGTGTATTAGTAATTACAAAATGAAGAAATGATTTTTGGATAACATTTACTATTTTATTTCTCTCTAAATCAAAGTATCTTTGTGCAGGCCTCGTATCACTCTGTTAAGTAGGCGTAAAAAATAGAAATATTCATGTCACAATAAAACTCATCAAACTGCAGAAATTCAGAATGACCCTTCTCCAATAAAATAATCATTTCTCTAAATACCCATGGCGTTTCTCTCTTAAATTATTTTTTTTAGGAAATAGAGTCAAAATAACAATATAACAACTCAATGTGG